GGCCCTACACCAATGCCTACCCTCACTGCTATCTAGCTGTGGAACATTCCAACTCAATAACCTAACCTCTCAGTTTCCCTGTCCTTACATGGAGTTAACAGCTTTTGTTCCCATCAGGTCTCCAAACAACTAACTGAGATCATACAAGGACGGAGTAGGTGTCCACCATCCAGGAGAGCTGCCATGCCAGCCTCTCCAGCTATATCTCCTGCACTTACCCTTAAGCGCCCTCCGACTCCCTCCCTCACAAGGCCCTCCAGTGTTCTGTAGGCCCTGACTATCTTTCCCCAGACCTCACTCACTCTCTCTTGTACCCTTTCCAAGAGTTAAGCTTCATCCTGCAGTAATCATCTCACTACCACAACCACACACCCAAATCCTGGAATTCCTTTCAAGGCCCAACTCCAACCTAAATTCTCTCAAGCCCAACATGAACACTACCTCCTCCAAAAAGCCCCCTAATTCCCACAGATCAATGCTTCTCTACTAGGCTGCATCCAGTCACCTGGGGAATAAAAAAATTAAAAAATAATTTTAAATTAATGAAATACGTTCCTGGAGCCTGGGCCTGGGTCATGCTGACTTTGTTGGTCTGAGGTGTGGCCCAGGCACTACCCATGGAAGTGACCTCTCATGCTGAGATTCCATTGTGCTTCCCCAGCACCTCTCCTGCAGCACTTTTTACTTCCTGTTTTAATCACATACAAACTATAAATTCTTGGAAACCTAGACAGTATTTGATTGATAGCCCTCAAATATCCAGAAGAACTATGGCTTGAACTAACAGGCTGGTCAACTATATGTTAAACGCAGAGGTAAACAGAATTTCAGCACACCTAAAAAATAGGACTCAAAAATATGGTTTAAAACAAAAACCTAATAACACCTAAAAAAATATCCTGTATTTCAACAGATATTAAAGTTTATTTATGTGAACTAGCCAACATATAAGAAATAACTTACCCCCAAAACAGAGGAAACATCATTAAAATAAAGCAGGTACAGGGCTAATCATTTCTGGTTTCACAAACGGTCCTTCCCATCCCTCTCCCAGAGTTCCCTTAATGGGTCATGTTCCCTCATGCCTCCATGCTTTGAATATACACTACAACCTCTTACCATATTCTTCATCTAGCTGTTACTAACTCATTATGGACACACCTTCTACAATGGAAAGCCTCTCCTTAGGTCAAAACTCTAGTTGAATGGCCCTCTTCTGTACTCTCCAGACAGTTGGTAACATAGCATCTGACAAAACAAATTAATACTTTGCTTCTCTAGTTCCCTGTCCAGTTCTGGGAGGACAAAAAGACTCTGTTCATGGTAGATCCATCTTAGATAATGTATGGCACTTAGGAAGCATTCAATCAGTGTTCAATAAATGAATGAGAAAAAGGCCTTCAGTTTGTTCATCTGTAAAAAAGAGTTGGTATCTAAGGTCTCTGTAATATTCTATTACAATGAAGAATCAATAAAAACAAGTGAGAATTATATATAATAAAAGACTTAGATCCATGTTTGGAGTGGAGTAATTTCTAAATCACAGTATCACAAGTCACTCATTTATATAAGATTTTCTTTACACATCATTTTACTATTTAAGCCTGGGGTGCCTGGGTGGCTCAGTTGAACCACTTGCCTTCAGCTCAGGTCATGATCTCATGGTTTGTGAGTTCAAGCCCTACATTGGGCTCTCTGTTGTCAGGGCACAGCCCACTTTAGATCCTCTGTCCCCCTTTCTCTCCCCCCTCCAGCCCCTCATAAATAAATAAATAATTTAGTATTTAAGCTTAAGACAATAAATTGCTGTTACATTACTTACTATGTTTAGAGAAATTTCTTTTCAAAAAGGATTACGTGCTCATTAGCAATCCAACAACTCTAATTTTAATATGAAGTAATACATCATTAAAAGTTTTTTTCATGTTTATTTTTGAGAGAGAAAGAGAGACAGATCACAAGCGGGGGAGGGCAGAGAGACACACAGAATCGGAAGTAGGGTCCAGGCTCTGAGCTGTCCGCACAGAGCCCAAAGCAGGGCTCAAACTCACAAACCATGAGATTGTGACCTGACCTGAGCAGAAGTCAGACACTTAACAGACTGAGCCACCCAGGCATCCCACACATCATTTTACATATGTAGTTAGTTAAAGAACTTTAAGTCTGGATCCATGGATAGGTAATACTAAGGAAATTTTTACATTTTGAGGCCTAGATGGTAGTAGGTGGGTACCACTAGCTAATATTCATTACCTAAGAGAATACTCAACCCAGCATCGAATGCGTATTAAAGGACATATGAGTAAGGAATCCTCAGGTACTGGCCCAATTCATTTCAACCTCAAACAGAGCTATTATTCAAAATATTCATCTCAGCAATAAAGATGTACAAAAACAGAGATATAGCTTTAGAATGCAATTTCTTTTATTAGTTGTTCAAGACTACAATATCCAAGATACTGGTACATTATCTGAAATACAATAAGAATATCTTTGTGAGGACTTAGCTTGGAATCTACTGGGAAGCTATCACTTTCCTAACCTCAGCTATTCTTTGTACTAACAGTAGACTAGGATCCCCAAACAAACTAAACTTTAAATATTTATTTGGAAATCTTTCTTTGACTATGACAAAGTTAAGGTCCTTTAGATATGTTAATTGTATAAATTAATGATTAAATCGCCTGATAATTAGACATAAACAATTGTATATAGTAATAATTACAACTTCATTTTCTAGATGAAAGCAAAATATAATGCAATCACCACTACTTTTTAAAGTTTTTTCATTTAAGTAATCTCTACGCCTAATATGGGGATCCCTCCAACTCACAACCCAGAGATCAAGAGCCACAAGTTCCACTGATTGAGCCAGGCAGGCAACACTACAATCCCTGCTTTTTTTTTTTTTTTTTTTTTTTTGGGGGGGGGGGGGGAATACCTTTAGTTTATTATAAAAGAGAGACATGAAAATTATTTACATGATGAAAGATTTCACAACTTCATTGGAATGGGCAGCTTCCCTTCATGCCATTTCAATAATGATTTATTTCAGTCTACATACTTTCCGAGAATGTCCCCATCTCTTGTCATCTAGAACTACTTTGGTGCCTCCATATTCTGGGAGAAGAACTTTATCTCCAACTTTTCACACTGACTGGTTGAATGACTCCAACCTTTCCTTTATAAAGAGCCTGATCCAACAGCTACTACTGTCGCTTGCAAAACTTTTCCTTGAGATTTTTCTGGAAGCATAATGCCTCCTTTGGTTACAGTTTCGGCTGCACTCCTTTCAACTAAAACTCGGTCAAAAGGGGGAAGAAACTTTCTAAACGCTTGTCCTGCCGTGACTCTGGCCACCGCAGTTCCTACTCGGCTGGCTCTGGAGCTGCCGCCGCTGCAGAGACCCGCAGTCCGACCCCCGGGACACGTGAACGTGGGAAAAGCAATCCCCACTATTTTTAAACAAGCCAAAAATAACTTTCCTGTTTTTTTTCTTTTACCTTGAAAGCTTTCTCTATTTTTAACTTGCAAGAATGTTGTAGTTTTCCCCGGATTATTTAAATTAAATATTTAAATCCCTTTCAATAATCCTGAGGCAAGACTTGCCCAATGACCTGATCAACATGCAAGAGTGACAGAAGCTTGGCTACCCTGTAAAAAAAAAAAAACAACAACCTTATTTTTATACTCATAGATGTGGGACACCATGAAAAACAAATTAAACAGGAAACTTAAAAAGATTTTAAGAAAAGTATGTTCTCTCCCATGCCTTTTTTTAGAAATATCACTGCATTATAACGAGTAATATTAACAAGTATATCTAGGTGCAAGGACACCAGGCTGCAATGCAAGTACATTAATTAAAGCGTATCGAGATCAGAAAAGTGTTTCCATCCCTTACCGTTCCTGAATATACTAGGTTTTGATATAAAACAAGTGTCATTTTAAAACCAGATAAACTTAAAAGAGATGAAACACAACCAAACTCAGTGGTTGAATTAAGATGGATGTTGAGGCAAACTCGTTTTTTTTTTTTTCACGTCTAAAATTACTCCTACCTGTGATGTGAACAAGAAACCTGTGGCTCTTGTAACGTTGGCTTTGGACAGAAAGATTCCCAAAATGAGACAGGTGCTTTAAAAACACACTTAGTTTTACCTAGAACTAGTTCAGGCTTCTATATGCCCAGTCCTACGTTCAAGGACCAATTAATCCAACACGATAACAATGTAATTCTGAAATGCTGACGTCTCCAGAGAAAGACCAAAAGACAACACTTAGCCATGAAGAACTTCAAGAGAAAACTTGTTCAGCTTCTAGTTTGGGGTCCGAAATTATCCCAAGAGAGTCCTGAAATCCCTTAAGTTTTCCCAATTAATCACCCACGCCACTCCACCTTTTGTACGCATTAGATAACAAAAGTCCGCGGGACTCTAAAAACCAAAACCTCGAAAGCTCAAAGAACACCCGAAAAGGGGGGAAATTTCATGGCCAATAACTCTCTCCTACCACCACCGACCGCCCATGTCGCACACCACGCTGCAGCCAAGCCAACACTCACCCACCGCTCGCCCAGGAGACCCAAACCTGGGTGTTTCAAAATCTGAAGTGAGGTAACGCTGCTTATTCTCCTGGGAGGGCCTTTACCCGCCGGATCCCCTCCCCGCCTTAAAGATACCCCACAGCATGCTGGGCGCTGCCATTTTGACTAGAAAAGGGGGCCTCGCTTCCGAGGCCCTCAGCCGGTCGTCCTGAGCAGAGCCTGAGGCCCAGGGAGTCGCTCACCCGTTGCCTCCGCGCTCCCCACATCCCATCCCCACGCTCAGAAAGTTCCTGTCCTGGGGGCCCACGGACAGAGCGCCGCAAAGCTAAAACACCCTGCAAAGCCGCCGGTTCAGCCTCTCAGGCAGCGCGGAGAGCGCCCCCAGCTCAAGGGGCGGGTCATCTGCGGCCGGGGGCGGGGCGTCGACCCACGGCGCGCACGGTAACCGTGGCAACGCGGCCTCCGGCTTTGCGGAGATGCTACTGGGCGACGCGGTCTGAGACTAAATGTCCCCGCCACGACCTAGGCAGCTCTGGAAGGCGCTCCGTGACGGGCAGCACGCACTCAGTCCTAGAGCCTCCGACCTGCGTCGCTCCTCAGGCTCAGCCCTTCCCCTGCGGCCGTCCCTCAGCTTCCCCCGCAGCTGCTGCACGCCGGAGGCTCCCGGGCGCGGGCAGCAACGGCACCGCCTCCCTGTCGGCACCTCCCACTTGAGCTGCCCGAAGCCCGCCTGCGCCCGCCTCGGAAGCGGCGCGCGACTCGCAGCGCCTTGAGGTGCGTGCCCGGGTTCTCCTAGGTTGAGGCGCGGCCCGCTAGCGAGCCCGAGCCCCGCTGCATTTTATTTTATTTCATCTCACTCGAGGTTTTGCATAGACTGAAGTTTTGTGGGTTAGATTCAACTCGGGACCTCCTCAAAGAGGACCCGTGTTTTTTTTTTTCCCCCCCCCAAAATGGCAGCCTCCAGCCGCGCACAAGTGTTAGATCTGTACCGGGCGATGCTGAGAGAAAGCAAGCATTTCAGCGCCTACAATTACAGGTGACCCGGTGGGCGGCGGGGTCCGGGAGGTCCGGGGTGAGGGGAGCTCGTGTCACGTGCCGGAGGCTTTGGGACGGGGATGCGGAGGCTCTGCAGCCGAAAATCGTGCCCCTGTCTACCAGTGGCCCTCTGAAACCTTCGGGGAAGAGCAGGGGACTTGGCTTGCCTTTTATTGTATTAAAGAAGAGGTTCAAATCTTGTGGGGTTTTCCCCCGAGTCGAATACGGCGGTTCTCTGGAAATGTGGTTACTGGTGTGTTTCTGTGGACGTGGAAGCTGCCGAGGCTCAAGCTAGGACCCGTTCGTCGCATGTATGGAACTTCCCATAGGACTGGGAAAGTTGATAGTGAAGTAAGCAATCAGTAGCACATGTCCGCAAGCTGAAAGCTCGCTCTAGCCACTTTTTTAATAGCCTAGTAGGTGTCTTAACTAGTTTTTTTGGTTGCAAGAATCAGAAGTAAATCCTTTCTGCTTAGGGCACTGGCTTTGCGGAGGGGTGGGGTGAAGGCACGGTTTGTAAGGAGGTTCAGGTAGCGGTAAAGGAAAGAAAGTCTCACAAACTTCCAGGAGCTAAAAACATTTCCCTTGTCTTCACCAGATGGGTATACAGTTTTAAAAATCTTTGCAACAGGAGAATGAGAGTCTAAACTTACGTCCCTCAATGTGGCACACAACTTTATCCATGCCTGGTCCCTCTTCATATATATTCTTGAATTCCTTATACTCTTCATATATCTTTTGTCTATCTCCCAGCCTCTGCTTTCTTTTTTGCTTCCTTATAACTTCTAACCCATCACTACTGTATGAATTCTCTCTCTGGATCCTTTCAGATTTGGTGTTTCCTATTAACTACCTGATCCTGTCCGTTGGAGTATGAGCCATATTTAGGCCAGGTCTCACTTTGGGTGATTGGCCAAGCCAAGTGTCCTAGGAGAGAGCCTACCCTTGGAAAGATCTGATGAGATAGGCGTCAACTTCCCAGTGAGTATATGAGCTATGAGGCCCTATGATAAGTAGAGCCAGTACAGTTCTACTGGTTCTGGGAACACTAAACCTCTCTAGCAATGACTGTCTAATTTTTAAATACCTGCATAGAAAAGGTATTCTTCCAATAAATTTAAGAACAACGTCTGGGCCATACCAGTGAGACCATATTCACTCAGATGGCTAAAAGAAACCTTGCGTGAGAGAGTATGGCTTTACTTAATGACATTGCCTTTGGAAGGCAAAGTTTGTAAACGTCACAAATACTTGTGGAATTTTTAGCAAAAAATTAACGTAGTGCTTAGCACCAAGAACTTCACCAAGTCTCTTGAAGAAACCTACAAAATATGCAGGTGAATAAACGGTAACCAGGTATTTACACTACCATCTGGCAGAAGATATTTTTGTCATTTAGATTTTCTGAGCATAAGCAAGAACTGGGAATCAGCACACAGATCACACACTGAAGAGATAGCTGCAGGGATAGGGTAGATGAAAAAGAAACGCTGTGAAAAAGTCAAGTAGGAGCCCGCAGACAATATATTACCTTCAACAAGTCACTCAACCTTAGTATTTCAATTTTCTTGTTTGTAAAATTAACCTGTTGGACTGGGTAATCTCTAAGGATTCTTACATTTCTAAAAATCCATTTGGAAATGATTTATGAGCCAGGTGGCGAAATCTACATTTGAGGCAAAGTTTTATCCAGTGAATAAATGCCAAGTCAACAGGAGTAAACTGCAGGAAAATCATTCAGCGCTCATAGGCAAAAAATTGGAAATGAGTATCTGTATAAGCCACTGTAAAGTAATAGACATTCAGAAAGTAATTGTTTAAATTATACTTTGAATAATGCTTTTGAACCAAATTTATTAAATACATGTAAATATATTAACTGTAGAGATCCGATAATCATTTTACACTATTTCTTGAAATCATGGACTTAAAACCTGAGATTCCCACTAGTATCTCTAAGATAATAAATGTACTTATTAAAAAAGAATGTTCTTCTTGTTTATTAAGGCTATATCTTACAAATTTCAAAGACATCCCCTTCCCCTGTATAAAGTTATTTCTGTTGTCTTTAAACACGCTAAGCAGTCTTGTCTTGAGTTCATCCTCTTCTCTTGAGATTTAACTCAATCATGACCTTCTCAGGAGAGAGGTTTTCCTAATTCTTCTCATCCACAACCCCCATCTCCATCTAAACCGGTCCTTTTCCTAAGTGTGATTTTACTTCATTGCTTCCAAAAACTCTGCCTGTGCCATACCAAAACCTGGAGCTACAAAGATGGGAGCTTTGGACTCAGCAAGGCCCATCAGTGGCTTTTTTTAACAGATCTTTGTGGGACATAGTTATAGAAACCATTTTCGCAAACTGTTAAGTGCTGTGATAGGCTTGCACGGGGTGGGGTAGAATCAAGAATACTTCCAGAAGATGACATTGGATTGAAGGCATAAAAGCAGGATAGTGTGCTCAGATAACAACAAACAGCAGAAGATTATTTAATTTCTGGAGCGTTAGTGGACTTATGAGGTGACAGAGGATGAGACTGAGGGTGGAAAGGGCTACATACATATTCAAGAACCCAGGCACCATGCCTTAGACATGGGCTTTATTCTTAGCTAACGGGCAACCAATAAAGCATTTTAAACCAGAAAAAGACATGGCCAGATTTACATTTTAGGTAGGTGACAGGCAGCAATGTAGAAGGTAATTTTGAGGACTCAATACAAGGGCACCAAATGGATGTTGATTACAGCAGTGCTGAAGAGATTAGGGTCTTAATGAAGGAAAGAATAGTGGGTGATAGAGAAAAAAGGCATATTAATATAGGATAAAATTGTTAGAACCCTATGAATGTTTGGATTCAGGAAGAAGGAAGAAGAGAATCTAAGCAGAGTCTAGAATCACCTCCAGGTTACTAGTGAAGAGGAGGCTCAGAAAGATTTAAGTGTAAAGTTTTTCTATTAACTGACTTAAGAAATACAGAAATAGGTGGTCTTGCAACAAGAAGACTTTTAAATACATCTTTGGGCATCTTGAGTAAATGTCATCTGATGTGCAGCAAAGGCAATTATTCCCAAGCATCTACAACTCCGGGGAGCAAACAGGGCCAGAGTTACCATTATCACTTGCTGTGTGACCCTGGTGAGTAGGGTCACAGAAGTCAAGATAGTCTCATGTTTTGGGAACGTCTTTATGGTCAGGGTGACTTGCTTTAGCAAGGTCCAGTAAATAAAGATGGAAATGTGCCTGGTTTGGGCAGTATGGAGATCTCTAGGGACTTTTATTTACCAGAGCAGTGCCGGTGAGGTGGTTAAGGCAAAACCCGGATGGCGGGGTTTGAGACGTGAATCAGAAGGAAGGAAGCAGACAGAGTGAGTGTAAACCGACCCACCAACCCAGGAAGTCTGGTTACCATGATATGGGAGTTTGGATAACTGAGAGCAGGGCCCCACAAGAGGTGAGAGGTGGTTTCTGACAGCACAGTTGGTCCTGGGACAGGAGGAGGGGCACTTTTTCATAAGTAGGGTGACGGAAGTGGTGTTGTGGAAAGGATGGGAAGTTGACATGATTCTGGCCATGCCTGATGCCAGTGTCTGGATACACTGGAAAGTAAGTGGATGTTGAAGAAGCACCATGTTCTCAGATTTATTATTACACGTATCAAACACGATTGTCGTTGTAGATGTGCTTGTCTCCACCATTTTTCCTTGAGTGTCTGTATTCTGTTCCTGTCTTATGTCTGTATTCCTAGTGCTTAGCACAGTAATTGTCTAGTGTAAACTTACGAATATTTGTTGAAAAGCAAGAGGAAATTGTATTCAGAGTTCATTTTTATCAGCCATTTTCCTGTTACAGATTAAAAATACTATAAAATGTGGGGCACCTGGGCGGTTCAGTTGGTTAAGCGTCTGACTCTTGATTCCGTCTCAGGTCATAAATGTCACGGTTTGTGAGTTTGAGCCCCTGAGCACTCTGTGCCCATAGAGTGGAGCCTGCTTTGTATCCTCTGTCTCCCTCTCTTTGCCTCATTAGAAAAATATTTTAAAACGTGAGACAAAGCAAAAATAATGCCCCTATGCTTACCAAACTGAGTGTCAGAACTTCTTCTTTCTTCATCAAATTTTTGGGTATTATACTTCCTGTAACACTAAGCATTGTGGTGGAAGTTGTAAATCAAAATGAGCCTCCCATTAATGGTAGAGAGTGGTAAGTACTGTTGACCTTAAAAAAACAAAGAGCCCATTATTTTACCAGCATAATGAGTCCCTTTGGGAATAGCAGAGGAATTATGATTCGGGACTTGCAAGGTGTGGTAAATATCGGCCAGCCAGTCTGGAGGACTCAGGAGAGGAACATCACGAAAAGGAGGAGGTTGGGAGGGGCTGCTTGGAACAAAAGACTGTTGGAGGAAAGTGAAGAATTCAGGGTGGTGATGGTTTCTCACTGGCTGAGTCCTGGCAGTTTCTCATTGGCGGGGCTGTTGCTGGGCGAGGAGAAAACCTTCCTTTCTTCTGCTGGAATGACAAAGTGAACTAGACTGGAAGTTCATGGGTGAGCAGTCCCCTACAGGGCTTCCCAACTGCATTTTAAGTAAGATTTCCCTTCACTAATTTTCATAGTATCATCAGGAGTTTATCAGTAAAGTACAAAGGAAGAAAGGCTGACCTCATAAACACCACCTTAAAAATAGACATCATTAGGAATGCTTTTGACTACAAGTAATAGAAAACCTTTACACAGTACTCAAGTAAAGGTTTATTCTCACATAGGGAAGATCTGGAGGTACGTACTTCCTCGAACTGATTTAGCCGCTAGATGACGACAAGATGTCTGAGTGTTTGTTTTCCTCTCATGCTTATACCTACCTGATGGTTGCAAACAGTTATTGAAGTTCCAAGTATCAGCTTTATTCAAGACAAGAAGAAGAAAGGACACCTCAACCAGGAAAGAGCAAGCTTTCTTTTCACAAGGAAAGGAAAAACTTGCCTGCAACCTTTCTAGTGGAC